AGCAGCTGGAGAAGAAAATATCAAAAACAAAACCAACCAAGGAGGCGAAGAGCTGCACCAAAGCGCTAAAAGGTCCTCAAGGCTTTGCAGAAAACAAATAGTGAGTGCTCTTTAAAAACTGGGGAATATCCCAACATCTCTGCTTTACTCCAGTAAGCTCACCGTGTGTGTGTGTGTGTGTGTGTATGTGTGTGTGTGTGTGTGTGTGTGTGTGTGTGTACCTCAGTAGAGATCTTCTTATTCCTCATTCTGACTTTAACTGGACTCTGAACATCATCAGAAGAAGAAGCTGGATCGCTTTCTCCATCCGAGCTCATTTTCACATCTTCGTGGACGATCTCTGAAAACACACACGAATAACAGTCACACGCATACAAAGAGTAGAGCAGGCCTTAAATTCCCCATATCACCAAATGCACCAAACAAGTCCAATCTACAGAGGCTCCTCCCTACAACTCGTCTCAGAGATCCCGTGTCCAGGCAGGTCAGAGCTGTTTTGGTGGCATGACTCACGACTAATCCTCCTCTGCAGTCGCGTCAAAAACGGGAATATCCCGCCTGAGAGTGATGCTGGAAACCCACTCCGCTGTCTACTGTAATTGATTTGTATCAGGATGTACTCATAGCTCTCTGAAAAGCCTCCAGCTGATACAGAAATGCTGTAGTACGAGCACTAACGAGGACTAGAGAAAGAGCCATTTCTCCCATATTAATTCTCTCATATTAACTCGTCTTCATTGGCCCCTTGTGAACTCCAGTATAGAGCTTAAAATCTTTTTCATCACATACAAAGTCCTGAATGAGCAGAGTCCATCATGTCTTAAAGACTTAATAGTATCGCATTATCCCAGCAGAGCACTTCGCTCTCACAGTGCAGGCTTATTGTGCTTCCTGGAGACTGCGAGGCAGAGCTGATCTCTTCTATGGCACGACATCATTTCCTGCGACACTCCATAGAATTGGAGGCAGAGCCCTGAGCTATCAGACGTCTCTCCTGAGTCAGAGTCAGACACCCTCCCTGATTTTAAGCTTTTCTTTTTGGAAACAATCACATTTCGGGCTGGATCAGGTGACTCGGTCATGTTACACAACTTCTCATATTACGCACCTCTCCTGTGCTCTCTCTTACTTGTTATATGCTGTGATTGCATTCATTGTGTTTCTTC